AAAAATCTCCGGTGTTATATGAATTTTCACCTGATGAACGCAATGTTTTCACCGAATATGTCACCACAGTTACTGACAAACTCAAGAAACAATTAATATCGAACCTCAGTAAAGGTTTAAACACCACGGAAATACAGCATAAATTTCCTAGCTATCCTGAAAGGCATGTGTTTAATCACCATTCAATTTCCTTAACAAATGTACAATTAGAAGCCTTATCTTTGGGGATAAAATTCTGTGACATAAACGAAAAAATTAATAAAATCCATACCTATGTTCAGCTCGAGAATTCGATCAAACAAACAAATGGTTTTAAACCAGTCTCTGACCAATAATTCGAACGTTTCAAATCTACTCTTCTCGATAGCTGCTATTAATATATTAACACAAAAGTATTAGGCAAGAGTCTTCTAACGAAAGAACATAGAAATCAGCTAAAACTACTTAGAAATAGTGAAGACTTAATTATTACACGTTCAGATAAAGACGCTGGTTTGCTGCTGCAAGACCGCAATAATTATGTTGAAAAATGACAACGTTATTATCAGATGACACCAAATTCTCAAAAACAATCAATGAGGAAAACAAGGCTGAAGTTATAAAACGCAACTGACTGGAGTTCCTAAGAGAATGAAAAATGATCAGTTAATCGAAGAACATGTCTGTGAGCGCATGAAACCAACAGGATCGATAGTACCACGATTATACAATCTGCCAAAAATACACAAACCTGGCCTACCACTCAGACCTATTCTCGATATGTCAGGAACCCCTTACCACTCTATTGAAAAGTGGCTGACAAATCTCTTAGAACCCTCAGAAAACACATTTGTAAACACTCCATACGTGGTACTTTTGAATTTATTGAGCACATAAAATAAGTGAATATAAATGACAAAAGTATGCTATCTCTGGATGTCGAATCATTACTCACTAATGTTCTACTCTCAGAGAGCATTAATTTCATCTGCAAGTACGTAAATAACAATGAGATTAACATCAGAACACCGGATGTTTAGTTGAAGAAACTGTTACTGCGGTGCACTCGCAACGTACATTTTACGTTCAACGACGTAATTTATAGACAAAAGAACGGCATAGCAATGGGATTCTCTCTGGATCCATTACTTGCAGATTGCTTCATGGTCAGTTTCGAAAACAACCAACTCAAATTGACTATAGAAAAACTTCACTTCTATAAAAGGTACGTAGATGATATCTTTTTCGTTTGTGACAACAAATATGACTTGAGTCATCTTCTGAAGACATTTAATAATTGCCATCCAACAATAAAATTCACATTAGAAATTGAAAACAAACAAAATATTCACTTTCTTGACGTGGAAATGACAAGAAAGAAAGACGGTACTCTAAAAAGATCTGTAGTGACTTACTTTTATCACGAGAACACGACTGCTTTAATGAAAACAATTATTATTATGTCCAATTGTACCAGTGACTGTTTTAATGTGCTCTTTGTTTAACTGTACTAAAAACACTCATTATACTTACTTCAATTGTGACCTCGCGTGAATCCGGTTACGCTCAGTAACAATGCTTGTATCCTGGCATGATCTCAGTATTCTTTCTATACCACGGGATCGCCAGCAAATATATCTCGACTTGGACCATTAACTGCCTTCTGATATTTGGCTTCCTGGGGATTTCATGGATATCCTGTCACGCATTCCTTTGTAGTGGTGTTCATAGTCATTCGCGACTAGACGCCACACAACAGATCTATCTACAGGAAACTCATGTGAAATGGCCGACTATCAAGTTTCCACAGCTGGGTCCTCCTTAAACGGGAAAAAAACTGATAATAACACTCGCAACCAGAATACAACAAATCTGTAGTCACGACATCATAGAGAAAGAATTGGAACACCTGAAGGAGATACTTATTAAAAACGGATATCCTTCGATTTTCATTGGTAAGAACATAAAGCCCAAAACGCCGAAAACAAAGATAACTACAGTAGAAAAGAAAACTTTATACATGAACATCGACTTCAAAGGTGACAGAGCGATGCATACTCTAAAGAGGGGAATTTCCGATTCTTCAAAAAGAACATTCCCTGCAGCAACTTTACGAATAGTATTCTCCAGCTGATCATTGTTCATTAATAATCTGAAAAATAAATTGTCGCATCTGGCCAACTCAATGTGCATTTATCAGTTTACCTGCTCATGTGGAGCTAGGTTTATAAGTCGTTCGATGCGTACTTTATCCCAAAGAATTCAAGAACATTGTCCGACTTGGCTAAAAAGAGGAGGAAGTGGCTCAATAAGAAGCTCAGTAATTGAACACCTTGTGAACACAGGTCGCTCAATCAAGGTAGACTTTGTATTCAAAGTCATCTATAAGGTAACCATAAGTCTCGCAAAAACAATTAGACTGCATCTTCTTTGCAGTGCCGAAGCATTAGCCATACATCTGGAAAAACCAGAATTGTGTGTGCAAAACGACTGGTACAACCTGTTCTTCTACCATGGTCCTGATGTCTTATAATTTTTTAATATTATTTTTAACATTCTCTTTCTTCATACTCTTCTTCCTTTACATCCATCTGCTTCACCGTCCATCTCCCCCTTAAATTTTCTACTCCCAATTGGTTCATTTTATTCCAACGATCATCCTCATTACATTTAATCTCAATTTCAACATTTGTCTTATCATGCTGAGCTATCCGTCTCTCTATCTACCTTTTGATGAATACTTGTGCCATTAACGATCAAACGATTATTAAACTTCCCTTGATCTTTTAAAAGAATTTTTATTAACTTTGTTTATTTAACCCTACTGTCAACATGCCTAATAGAAGTTTATTATCAGTATGATTATCATCCTGTGAAAATAAGTATATATTTGCGATTATACAGCTTTGAAAATGAATTCGCCGAAAAGAGAACTCTTCGCTAAAATAATCTTCCTTATCTAATGTTTTAATGGGTGTATTCCGTTTATGAATGTTCAGTGTTAAATACACACAAAAATTTTAGAACTTCATTGTTAAGTTGGAGCTGTATAATCCGTTGTGCCCACGTAACCCTCTTGGTCGCATGTGAAAAATCCTCGTTGTTACTTGTCAGTTCATTAATTATTTTATCAAATAAGCAGTCTAGTAATTCATTTGGTGGTTTATCAACAAGACAATCTCGTTTTGGCCTGCTGATTCCTAATGCGTCTGTTCCTATGTCCTTGCACAACGGAATATTTAGGTCTTCTTGAGACAATTTTGAATAGATCTTCGGACAGAAGATTGTGTGGTACTTTTACTCTGTCACGCCTCATCCAGTCGCGAATGCAAGCGCCCAAATCTGTGGGCACATATGTAGCTCAAGGCTTGTTATGTCATTGATCTGTCTACCCAATAGTATGCATGAGGTTAGCTGTCTCGATGTAGATTAAAGCCTTGGCGCAATAGGCTTACTAGCTTAACCTCGAGGCTAAAAATGCCTGAATCCGAACTGAGACTAACTGCCTTAGGTAGAGAGATGAAGACCATTCTACCACCCGGTTGGTTGACAGTGAGAAAGAAGACTAGTTAGCTGGAACACTACTTGATTTGTTTCCGACTTCGATTGGAGTAATGGGTACATAAATAAATAGATTATTAGCATGACCACAACACACAAACAATAAGAACAATACAATTATGTTCAAACTAGGCATTCAGATATAAAAATTGAGTACCAAAGGTTACGTTTAAATTACAATAGCTTTGAAACTAAAAAGAGTATGCTAGTGGTTCATGCATCAGACAAAAGCTTATAGCTTGTAGAATAAACTAGCGGTGGAACTGGCTAGCGTTGTGATCCTCGTGTAGATCACTAGCACAGATGATCTGTGTCTAATGATTGTGGGCCCACTCGACTTAGACGGAAATGGTGTGACGAACTAGCCTCGTCAATGTCACACCTGATAGTTAGTACATGGCATGGACTAGCATTTTGTCGCATCCAAGTACTATGGCTGCTTTGACGACCATACAACACAAAGGACTTTATTACAGAAATATGTTGTCAAGAGTAGGTACAAGGAAGATAGTGAGACCACCGCCGCATGAGCCATTCCATAGGGTTGCTACACTACCTGTCTTCGCCTGCACTTGTTGATAAGTATGGAGTAGAAAAGCTACGTCATCTGCATAATCCAACTCGTCTAGTTGCATCCAAGCTGTCCATTCTGTGCTTTCCCTTACATGCGGAGGTTTTCATAGTCGAATCGACCGCCAGAAGATAGAGAAAACGGGGGAACAAATAGCAGTGTGTGACCTCGGTCATAACTTGGAGTGCGTCAGTCAGCTGTCCCCTACATATGGCATTGCGATGTAATCCATCGTATGAATTCCGTGTGATGTTGACGATCTTCACAGGTGCAACACAGTGTCGAAGATGGTTCCATAAGTTTATCCTATCTTCATTGTCAAATGCTTTCACATAATCAGGGAAGTCAATGTATAGTGATGAGTCCCGTTCAGCCGACTATTCAGCATTAGTCAGTAGTGTCGTTAAACGACTTCTTATCACAGAATCCAGTCTGTTTATCTCGAAACTCCGTGCCTGCAGGATCATTTATTAGTTTCAAGCACACTGCCGTAAACTTTTCCTGGTACTAATAGTGGTATGATATCTCTGTTGTACTCACCTTGCTGAGATCTCCTTTCATAGGTATCTTGACAAAGTATCCTTCTTTCCAGTCTACCGGTACTTTTTTTGCCTACAAAATCTTTCTTCGGAGAATATGGAGCATCTTTTCAGTTGTTTCGATATCTGACTTCAGAGCTTCAGCTCATGTGTTGTCTGGTCCTTCCGCCTCAAAGTCGGACGGACAACAGGGAACTAGCTTTAAAGTTTTGAGGCACAAAGTGAATCACTGACATTTCACACAGAAGCTCGTGAAGCGGGAGCTACTTCTTTCCGTCCATTAGAATTTGACTATTCGAACCGTTTGTGGAGGTATTTATGAAAGCTGTCGTTACCGTGAAGGGTTTGTGATGATGGCTGATAAGAAGGAAATATACAGATCTATTGCCCGTTTCTTCGATAAAGAGATAAATTCCCATGTCTACTCTTCGGAGATAAATGAGGGTCTTGAAGGTAAACATACATACACTAAATTTGCGGTGGGGAAGTCATTACTTTTCGTATATCTTCTCTAACGAAAATGTAGTATCATTGTGAGAAAACGGTGATATGTATTTCTGAGTAGACTGGTTCTAAACGTAGCAACATTGTCGGACGAATATCAACTAGTGTTTTTAATATACGGTTAGGAGACTGTACAAACCAATCATGAAGAGGGATAGATGATACTTCCAACTGTCTTATGTTCAAAAGTTCTCGAAAAAGGCCATGTTAACTGTAGGTAAATTTAGAGGGCCGTAATTTTTTGAACAGAGAGAAAAGCACTAGCGTTGTGGAACCTTGCTATAGTCGGGAAATTGTGAGGTTTCTGGTTGGTGAGTAAGATTCAGTAAGATATTCGTTAGTATTCGAAGTTTTTGCGTCGTTCTATGCAGATCCAAGCCAGCGGTCTTTTCAAGTTATTAATGGTTGAGAATTCGTAAGAAAGCTGTCGTGATTGTCGGAATTCCCGCTATTCTAGTTTCTAAAGTTGGCCTCGTATTTAGGGTCTGGTAGCGGAACAACAATGTTAAGCCTCACTAGTTCTGGCTTCAGACACACCGTAAGGGCCAGCGTAATATCGGGTTGGGGAGAAGGGTGACCAAGTGAACATTGTGATATTAGTGTAACCCATTTACTGAGTTTAGGAGTATTGCCTTGACTCCAAAGCTCATATGTAGGGTCTGTCGGCACTGACCAGGTGCTATAAACATAGTGGGTGGAATTATTCCTGAATCTACTACTTAAAGATTAAAATGCTGCTTTCTTCAACTACTGCTACCACTCCTCCTCTATGTATAGTATGGTATCAGTCATTATAGTTACTGTTATTTGGTCTCACAAAATCGGTTGATTTTATTTCTCATGTTTATCTGAATCATGAACATAGCACTACGCCATACTTGTCACCTTCCAGTTTCGTCTATTTTCCTTTAGCTTTCCAACTATTGGTAATGTTGTCTTCAAACATTCTTTAGTCAATTTTTCTGTACCCTAGTGTGAATCTGGGGAACGCTGTTTATTAAAGTGGTTGATATCCACTTAACGTTTTTGTTAACTGTTCTTTACCAATGATTTTGTAATTAAAAGTCACATTCTTGATAAGTTACCTCTTTCTTGAAATTTGTATCCCAAAAGAGCAAGACTGACTGAACAACATGGTAATAGACCATGTAGTTACAGATACAAACTTAAGATATAGAAAATTACTGTTTAATTGCTTTTTGTGTGACACGTGGAGTAAGTTGGGTCATTTGGAGCACACTTGATCGTTCTGATATATGCAACAATTACTCATTGAGTTCTTGGATAGAATATTGAAGGAGATACAAGACATCTTAACGAGGCTTCAAAAGGACGTTCCTTTACTTAAATTGCTTCAGTATTATAACTTGCCTATGTATTCAGGTCATTTATATTTGCTTATCTGAAAGAACTTATCTTAGAGTAACTATTCAGATGACTTTTGTTTCAGTTGCGAAGCAGTGTATAGAAACAGCTTTTCATATATCTGATAGTGAAGTCGGTGATGTTCCCGATTTACAAACATTATTTAAATCTCAGTCTCAAGTAATTACTCGCCTTTTAAGTCATCATTACAGAAAAAACCTAATATTCTAACAAGCGAACCCTCAGAAGAAACCAAATCAATGGCAGAAGCATTAAAAAATCAAGGTATGACTATTCTTTTTTTATTAAGCTGCACCTGCAGGCAATCAATGCATGAAACAGGAGAAGTTTGGGGAAGCTGTAGCCTGCTACAGTAAAGCTATTGAGCTGTCCCCATACAATGCTGTATTTTACTGCAACAGGTATTTACTGAGTTTTATGGCATTTTACAGTTTATTTTGAAATCTGACTGTAGTACGCTACCATAGAAATGTCATTACATCGGAAATAACTTCCGTGCTACTGAAATTGACCAGATGAGTTATAGCCTTACTTCACGGGGATGACAAGTCATGTTTGTTATACTTCAGCTCATATGTAAACGAAATCTATAGAAAAAACCCATTAAGCTAATTGTCCACAACCAACTTGAAATGTTTATAGTAGCTCATAATAGTCCAGTGTTGTATTTGTTGGTTTAGAATTCCATAATCAAATAGCTTATAAGAAAATCTGTTCCGACTAATTGCTCTTTGTAACGTAATATGGGGTTACAAATAGTTGAATGAATATTATTTTTAGTATTACACATATTATGGAAGTTGCTTACTTCTAGAGCAGAGGCGTATCATGTAACTGCCCATTTTTTAGATCACAGCCAACTGTAAACCTGGTTTACAGGGATGTCATGTTCTTAAGAGATTATATAGTAGATCAACTCAGTGAATTACTACTACTAATTTTCATGTAACCTCATCTCTCCATTACCTTGAAAATTTTTGGTCACTTTATTTTTTTTGTCTGAAGAGCTGCCGCCCACTCTCGATTAGATCATCACCAAGATGCAATTAATGACTGCTTAAAGGCTTTAGAAATCGACCCATGTTACAGCAAAGCATATGGCAGAATGGGGTGAGTGTTATAAATTTAGACCTTCATTTTTTACATACAATCCTATTATTTGTAACCTTTTAAGGTCCCCTTAGACTTATTATTTATTATTATTTTTATCAATGAATACACCATAAAAGTACTTTGATACCTGTCGTACGGTTTATTCGTTTGAATTTTGATTACTACTGGGAATCACTTTTAGTCTCGAATTTATCAAATATTATTCAAGGTTTGTTAATATTATCTCCTTGAGTGCGGTTCAGAACAGTATATCATTTACTAATTAAGAATACAGGTCCATGGCATCAAACGTATTATCTGTATTTAGCACTTTGCAAACAGCATCAACTTTTTTTCACTAAATAATCTCACTAAACATGATATATTTTGGAAATGTCAGTGAGTTTACTCTCTCCAGTGATAGCTAGTACCTTGAAGTGGTCAGGCTTACCTACCGTGATGGCTCAACTAAGCTATACTGGCTGGGACATACACCCTTTCAGATCCTACCATGTCAAGCAGGTCGGTTGGAGAACGATAAGACTAAACGATCAACTCGAAGTACTAGGGCGAAGTTGTACTGCTGACTGTATGGAGGTATGACGGTATTAAGGCGGTCCTCTTGGACAACCAGCACCTGCAGAGATGTTGCCTTCTCACGACGAAAGGAAGCAGTTAGAAAATGTCACATCTCACCTAACCCTACGGATTTCTTTCTCTGGTAGTAAAGCCTTTTAAAATACAAAGCTAACACATCAATACTTCCCACACAAAGGCCATGCGCGACCGGTCCCGATTAGTTGTCCTTTACTCTGGTCATGCTCCCAAGTGACCAAGACCACCACTTTTCTGATTCCTTTTGCAGGTCCTTCCACGATGTGGAGAGTTCGTAAATTACAGTTGCTCCCATACCTCTATCAGCACCCGAGATCATTTCCTTCGCGATCAAATCCCACCCTCACATCTTAATAATTCTTTTATCCTTATGACTAATCCTTGGTTAGAGACTTTGAATGACAACTCAAAATCGTTCTCAATGGCTTAAGTGCACTCATTCTTTTTCTTCCCTCAATTCTGAGATTGTAAATTCCTCATAACTTTTTTGTGTGTGTTTATTTCGCTGACTTGTATTTTCTTTTTGGATCGTATCTTCGATGCCTAATCTTTCCTATTACCACTGCTACCTCCACTGTTCTGGGATTTGCCTTGACAACTTCATCTCTCTGTGCTAATGGGGTGTGACAACTTGAGCCGATGTACGTACGGGTTCTACATTGTGACTGATTGACGACTCATCCTTGTTTATCTTTATCAACACGCGCCACCAATGGTGATGATTGGAGTCTACAAAATGTCTAGTGTCCCGAGACGACACTCTAAACTACGTGTTGAGGCTTTTAGTGTTCGAATTTTGTCATTTAGGACGACAGGCTTCTTTATCTAGGATCCCAGACTCCCACTATATCGACTTCTTTTGCGTCTCCAAAACGCATGTACATGACCTGAGTGTGGTCATTCACTTGACCTCACCTTGTGAATATTATATCAGCGCGTATGATCCCTCTGCCACTTCCACTGGCTTTACGGGTGTGAGCATAGGATTAAATGCCCCCAAATGTCCTGGTACGGCCGAGAGTGGGGAGAGTCCGCCCTACCTCTCGAAATGCTCTCACATGGCGGGGGTGTTGTTTACGAAAATGAGAGGACGAAAAGCGAATGTCCGGCGCTTTAACCGGATTCCGAACCAGTGGTGCACATGGGCTCTAGTATCCTGCGGGAACAAATGGCGTATGAACCAATTGTTGGTCACCGGCTTCCATGGGACTGCATCTCCTTACGATGCTCCACTGCCTTGTGGATCAGAACTTCAGGTCGAGGGCTCGGGGAGTGGCCCCCTAAGAAAACCACCTACTTCGGTCTGGGCACCTGGACAGTATCACAGCCCTCACACATATCGAATGAGATTTGTGTGGCGCATATGTATTTGGTGCCTCCTTGTACCAATATCTATTTGCTATAATAATAATAATAATAAATAGCATTAAGTTCAAAAGCAAAACAGGTTCTTCTGTAATGAATTTCAATAGACAGTTGCTTATACGCTATTCGATTAAACTAGGAAGGAAGAACGCGGAGGGATAGGGACACATTCCATTATCTCTTCTTTGTCTCTCTCTCTACGCTCTCACTGATAGCACCTCAGATGAAGTAAAGGATAAATTTTACCAGACTCAATAAGGCCGTCGATCATTCTGGGACACACTCCGAATTTCAGCGGCATCTGCTGAACTGATAGACTCTCGGAAACTCATCTCTGAACACGATGTGAGGCTAAGATAGCTTAAACGCAGGTTGATAAAAAGCCTATGCAATGATCTTAGGCAGTGGTAGGCAGCGAAAACAGAGATGGAAAAGGAAGCGGCAATAGGTAGAAGCAGACAATTGTTCGGACTTATCAAGGGAATAGGTATTAATCGGACGATTTATGAAAAAGATCCGATTATTATTTACTCAATCCAAGATATTGGATGATAAGTAGAACACTTCAGGGAACAGTTTGACTAGCCTTTAGCCACATTTCAATTCAGATCCACTCTTTGACAAACACTGAATTACTTTTCCTATGTTATATGTTGTGTGAGTCAGATACAATTTTTCTAGTTCCATAATGATGAAATTACCAGCTATTTTAGCAAACTTTTTACTTGGCATATAGCAATAGAATTAAATACTGGACATGTTAATTTGTATACACTTGGTAATTTTATTTGGTACTTCTTTATTGTAGTATTGCCTATTCTAGCATTGGTAATCATGCTAAAGCTGTTGAGTGTTATCGAAAAGGCTTAGAGCTTGACCCAAGTAACGAGAATTGTCAGCAAAATCTATCAATTGCCGAAGAAAAATTGAAGAATTCATCAGATAATACTCAGAGTTCAGGATTATTTAGTGGTTTTGACTTAAATTCCTTTTTAAGTAATCCAATGATGCAGAATATGGCTCGGCAATTCATGAATGACCCGAATGCTCAAAATATGTAAGTCTGATTAATGTTTCAAAGCAAAATCCTGCGTTTCTATCTATATTTGGTAAAGGTTTATGCTTATAATTGTGAGAGGAATCTCAGAAATAAAATCAGGATGTAATTGATCTAAGCTGCAAGTTGATGGTATCCACATGAGTTAAATTTAAATGTTTTTGAAACCCGTCATCAGTAAAAAAATGTCGTCTTTAAAAAAAAGATAAATTTCTACAGCCCGTTTAAACGCATTGCGTTTTTTCCAAGCAATTTGTAATTGTTCATTTTAGTAGTGTAGTACACCTAGTTTAGATGGTATATCTTATATAACATAGATCAAAACATTTTCTAGTGCCTAAAATTGAACAAAGTTATATTCTCTACCGTTCTCACTTTGCCATCAATCTAGGATGACTAATCTACTACGCAATACATTTGGAGTATCAGACAATCCAACTACAAATAATTCACCCCGTAATACTGAGGCTGATAATTCCAACGAATCAACAGAATCTAGTTCACAAAGTCATAATCCTAGTGGTACTGGTCCTAGTACTAATGGTCAAAGTATGGATGAATTTTTACGCCTGTAAGAAATTTGTTTTTTTGTTCTTTATTACCTATTCTGTTCACTCCATTTTTATTAGAAATAGGTTCATTCTAAGTATTTAGTCATCATTTGTATATTGTTTTATTTTTTGCACACTAATGGTGTTGTGCTTCAAAATTGATAATTCGATTAGTTTTATACTTTTGGCTGACTAAAGGAAAATTTTATGGGAAGGTGAATAAACGAGCACATAAATTTTGATAATACTCACTTTTCTGCACCATTTCTGTCAACAAATAGATAGAATATCTTATTTAGAATAGATAGGTTGTAACCAGCAGTGGAATCCAGGACTCACGTTACGCCCTATTTGGAGCTCACCAGCCGGGGGCACCTGCATTCCGTTGTTGATATTCATACTAGGACTTGAAGCTGGTACCTTTCGCTTTAAAAGTCAAATTCTTTATCCACTAAGCTAATGAGACCAGATAGCCACTAAATTGTTCAACAGGTATAATGTTTATGTCGTCATTAGGAAGGGTTTGGCCTATCCCATTGTCGATATTAGGAACTAAATTTTGATTAGTCTATAATTTTGAAAGTGTAATAGTGAGCAGGCTTTTTCAGACACTAGAAACCAGTAAAATGCGAATAACTACTTGTTGGATGCATTGTTGCGGAAAGTTATATCTTATTCTAGTTCATTGACATATGAGATACTTTGTTGTTTTGTTTATCTCTCATTTTTCTACAACTCTTACTTCAGTATGTTACTTTTATAGTCTTTCAATTTTACTTTAATGTACATTTTGGAGTTATTTTGTTATAATGCTATTGGCAAATGAGGATGAACATAGACTAGTGTATTATCTGTATCAAACCAGAGCATAGTTTGTCAAATGTAAAATATATTAAATATGTGTTGATGTTGTCTGGAAATGAGGAAGCAAGCAGTTAGTTAATTAGTCATATATTTATCTCTATCACATACCTGTTTTATTCTTAATAAAGTAGTTTTCTATTATCATACAATATTTGTGTATTTTCTTTTAATTGCCTATTTTTAGTGGTCAACAACTTGCTCAACAATTGCAAGCATCCAATCCACAACTTGTTAATCACTTACGTCAAACATTTCATACCAATGTTAGTGGACAAAATTCAAATCCGGAAAACAATACTAATTCCAATGATCATAACAATACAAATTCCAAATAATACTTGGCATTTTAAATGATAACCGGTGTTTTGTTTTGCTAACGTGTATTATGGCAAAATTCAGTTGTAATTTTCCTAAATTTAATTTTGGATATGATACTTCTTTTTGTTTCTTTTTTAGTAAACAAAATAGGGATGATTGTGCTAACTATTCATTGTTTTTCCCCATTTCTTTCTTATGAAAATCATATTGTGCATGCTATATTGTTTTAGACTTTGTTCTTGTCTTCGCTGTGTACTTTTGTTATCAGTTTTAATTTTACGTATGAACTAACGAATAAAAGTTTTTGTGAATCATCGAAAAGTGGTATATTATATTTAATATGATATTTATGGAAAAAGTTTTATTCTTAATTGCGTGTACAACGTGTAATAATCAATAAAACTACTTCACATATGTTTTTTGTTGTCTGTTTATTAAGGATTATATAAGAAACCTAGGCGTTTATTTGGTTACATTTTATGATTGTTATGTTTGCCCATAGATAAAGCAGGGAATTCTCAAAGTTCATTTGTTTTTAACACCTACTATTCTTAGATCATTAATTGCATATTGGTACATAATTAGACCATAAATAGTCAGTTGTTATGATGGGTGACGTCCGAGATCTGATACTGATACTAAACGTGCTACTCAATAACCCCCATAAATCGACTAATTGGACGAAAGGACAAGAGCGGAAGCGAAAGTCTGTTAGGCTACAGTAATCATTCATAAATACTTAAATATATACATTTCTACCCCTTTTCGTCAAGTGACCTCATTTGGCCACTTCTGATTGGCTCACTATAACAGTATATTTAGTCCTCTAAATATAGATACTCATTTTTTTATTTGCACTCTCTTTGAATGATGGTGTTTGTTATATCCTAGTGAAGATTAAATTACAGGTAACTTCCAAGGACTATTAATGGACTAATATTCTATAAATATTCTTATTGTATAACTATTCAACAATTACATTATGCATATTTATATTCCTCTTATTACAAGCTTTATTTTGACCTATAATTCATTATTGTACGATTTACGGTTCTTAAGTTATGTTCAGTTTATTAACTACTGCCTCCCACATTCACAGCCACTTTTGGCTTATTTGTGTACAAATATTATTTCCTATTTTATGGTACGTTGCGGTCTGTGTGATTGATATATAAACCGCGTATGTCTGAAATAAATGATTCTGGTCTGATCTGCTCTGATTCGGAAGCTGGTATCGTGTTCTGTACTCAAGTGGAAGGGCTCGTAGGACATAGGACCAATAAGGACGCTAAACTGCCCACACCGGTTGAACGTCATTGGTTGGCCTAGTGTGAAGATTCGTATAAGTCGTATTCGGATTGGTAGATAAGTCGTGTGATAGAAAAGTCAGACATTCAAGGTCATAACAGTGTTGGATATTGTGATGAGCAGTTTGGCATGTACTGGTCCTTGGTTATAAACGTAAAGTCTCTTTCGTAGGTGCTAATGTCAAGAATTTGTGTACAACAATCATGTATTACATAGCCAAAGTGGCTATGTTAAGTTTACCATTTGAGATGTGTATGAGACCAAAGCTGCAAGTAAAATACATTATTTATCTCAGAATAATAAGAATTAGTTTAGAGACAAAAGAAGGGATAACTGGTTGTTTTATTTTAGTGTGATTGAGAGGTCTGTGGTAATCCGTTTAGTTTAAAAACGTATTTTGCTACATATTAATGGCTGAGGTACCTTTGAAAACTAGGGAGCATGAGGTATTTGTCTTCTGCAAGTATGAGACAACTGACCAGCACCCACCGGTCTTATAGTTTTATATTGTATTTTAAGCTGTCTTATGTCAAGTACAAATGGACAAATATCTATAGTAATTAAAACAAAGTCGGTAGTTCGTAATGATTTTTATTTCAGTGTAAATTTAAAATGTCATACTATGGAAAGTCATAAATGACAACAACTGTTTTACCCACTGAACAATTGTGAAGCTTCTTTATGTTTGTGGAAGAATTTCCCAATGCATTCAAAAATCTTGAGAAGGAATTATTTCATTAAATTAAGTAACTACTTTTCATGTAGCAAACAAAACAACGGTGAGACTATAATTTATGAACGACCTTTGAGCAACGCTAAAATGACTTTGAAAATGTCTATCTACTTACCAGAGCTATAAATTAGTGCGAGGAACTATGATTAGGATTTACAGTTGAACGTTAGGATTAGAAATTATATTTAATGTTTTCATCACGAACTGACATAAGCTATAATGGTATTTGGCCAAATGAGTGGATGAATCTCGCACCAAAATCGAAGACCTGCTATCTTAAATCTGATTGGTTCGTCCATAAATTATAATCTCGCCAAAATAACTTTATAGATAATGGCACTCGACTTCTTTATTTGAAAAACAAAATCTATCTGTAGGTCACCTATTATAAACAATTCTCATCATAATTAGCTCATAATTCATGGTCAGGTGGATTAATCAATAGGTCATCTTACTACATTGGTGAGATTTAAGCACATAAAAAATCAATACAAAGTAACTCGTGTGCAAACAATAGTGTGCGGATGATAAGATGAATGTAGCTCATTAAAAAATAATGAAAAAAACAACATCAATAAAGTAAACAAGTGGAATAATACTTCATTTAAATGATTACATTGTTTTATTCAAGAGTTATGTTTATCTTTGACAGTTGTTGATTGGTAGTATGTATCCTTTAAAAGTGTGCTTAATTTGAGTAGTGTTATAACACTTAACAAGTTAATAAGATAATTAAACCAGATATAAAAAGACCAACTATTGACTTTGACAACTGAATATTAGATGCATTGCATAAGTCAGTAATACAACAATTTTCTTCCGTTGTTGTATTATACCAAGCAATGTATCTATTTACACAAGTTTCATTCATTTGACCACATGATTTTGCAATATTTATTGTCACCATATTCTTACTATAAGTAAGTGTAGTCTTTATGTAAAAGGAAAATAAGAAAGTGGATCATTGTACATTGAAATATCTGACATAATACTACTTAAAACAAAGTGAAAATAAAGACATTGTACGTGTATAAGTATTTGAAAGTAGTTTTTATCTGAAATGTGATCACATCATTAATTGCTAACTCTTTCTATATTCCGATTCTCTGTCAGTATGTTTCTTCGGATAACCTAATGCTTTAAACCTGAGCTTATAAGCTCGTAATAAGTGGTAATAATCTTAAAATTAGTGAATTCAGTGGTGAGACTATAATTTATGGACGACTTTTGAGCGACGTTAAAGTGGTCTTGAGAATGTCAACCTACTCAAGAGGGCTAAATGTGAGTTATAAAACTGTGTGAAGAATAAGGATTATGATTTACAGTTGATGATTAGGGTTAAGAATTAGATTTAAAGTTTTCATCACAAACAAACTTCAGCTAAAATCCTGAAACGCCCTTAACCAAACAGATGAATGAATTTCGCGTCAAAATTTAAGATCTGTTATCCCAAATCTGACTGACTCGTTCATAAATTATAGTCTCGCCAATTCGGTTCAAGTTACTTACTTACGCCTGTTACTCCTCGTGAAGGAGCATAGGCTCGCTACCAGCATTCTCCATCCAACGCTGTCCTGGGCAATCCTTTCCAGCTCCTACTCATCCTTTTCATATCTGATTCCATTTCCCGAAGTAATGTGTTCTTTAGTCTTCCTCTTTTCCGCTTCCCTTCAGGATTCCAAGTTAGGGCTTGCCTCGTGGTGCAGCTTAATGATTTGTTTAATGTATGTCCTATCCACTTTCAACGTCTTTTCCTAATTTCCTCTTCAGCTGGAAGCTGGTTTGTTCTCTCTCAGAGAAGGCTGTTGCTGATGGTATCCGGTCAATGGATGTTGAGTATCTTGCGCAGACAACCATTTATAAATACTTGTACCTTCTTGATGGTGGTTGTTGTAGTTCTTCATGTTTCAGCTCCGTACAGTAGAACTGCCTTGACGTTCGTATTGAAGATTCTCACTTTGATGTTGGTTGAAAGTTGTTTCTAGTTCTATATGTTCTTCAATTGTAGGAATGTGTCCCGTGCTTTGTCAATCCTCGCCTTCACGTCTGCATCTGAACCTCCTTGTTCATAGATGATTCTTCTCAGGTATGTGAAAGATTCTACATCTTCCAGAGTTTCGCCGTCAAGAGTGATTGGATTGCTCTTCTCTGTTTTGAATTTGAGGACCTTGGTTTTCCCCCTGTTTATGCTGAGGCCTACTTATGCAGAGACTGCTGCTACACTGGCTGTCTCTATCTGCATTTGTTGGTGTGTACGTGATAGGAGGGCTTCATAATCCAGTCGACCACCAGAAGAAAGAGGAAGGGAGAGAGTAAACAGCCTTGTCTGACTCCGGCCATTACTTGGAATCCATCTGTCAGCTGTCCTCCATGCACGACCTTGCACTGTAGTCCATCATATGAGTTCCGGATAATGTTGACAATCTTCTCAGGAACTCTGTAGTGTCAAAGACGTTTCCATAACGTCCTCCTATCTACACTGTGAAATGCCTTTTCACAATCAATGAAGTTGATGTACAGTGACGAGTTCCACTCAACTGATTGTTCGACGATGATCCGTAGTGTCGCAATTCGGTCTATGCACGACCTATCCTTACAGAATCCAGCTTGTTGATCTCAAAGTTGGGTGTCTACTGAGTCTTTCATCCGGTTCAGCAACAGTCTGTTAAAGACTTTTCCTGGTACTGACAGTAGTGTGATACCTCTGTAGTTTTCACATTTGCTCAGATCTCCTTTCTTTGGAATTTTGATGAAGTGTCCTTCTTTCCAGTCCATAGGCACTTGTTCCTCCTCTCAAATCTTTTGAATAGAAGGTAAAGCATGTTTGTAGTTACTTCGATGTCTGACTTCAGTGCTTCAGCTGGTATGTTGTCGGGTCCTGCTGCTTTCCCGCTCTTGATTTGTCTGATGGCCATTTTGATTTCTTCTTCAATCTCTTGTTTGCTTCTATGTACTCAGCTTGTGCTTGGAATTTAT